CACATGCATTTGAATATAAATTTCTGAGATTTTAAATCTGTTATTTTACCTTAATTTTAATTAAAAAATATTTTAAAACCTGCTGATTACCTATAGTATAATTAAATTTCAATATAATGCATGGCAACTGTTGGTAGTTTTGAAGTTTATATATTTTCTTGGCAAACTTCAGTTTTTGACATTTTTGACGGGTTTTTGACGGTTTAAACCAGTTTATACCGTTGTCATGTCAAAAACCACTTTTTGATGTCAAAAACCCAACCCTGGTACAGCTGCAATAAACAAAAACCGCAGTTCACTAGAGGGCGTGGATATAGAGAACAAACTAGTTACTAGACCAGTGATGTCAACGTTCACCGTGACGTTCGTTTGGTCGAGTGATTGATCTCTGCCTTTATATGCTAAAAGAATTGATGCTATGCTAAAAGAATTGAGCATGAATGAAATAAAAGTATTCTTGAATAGTACTATAGATTAATAAACCTGTTTATGATGAACCAAGCACTTAGTCCCTAATATTTTAACCTGTATGGCAAGGCCAAACTTTAGTTATGTACTATTGAATGAGAGGACCAATTGAACTTGATTACTCATTATTCTTCCTTTGTTTAAATTGAAGAGTCAAACAATATTAATAAAACATTATACTTTTAAAAACAAATAGTCTCTAGTATATTTAATTATCAATATGTTATTAGTTCTATGTTTATTTTACCTCTTAAATATTGTTCAGATAAAATAGTGACATAATTTGAGTAAAAGGGTACTGGACATCTTTGACAAGGGGGTTTTGGACAGGACAGTTTAAACCATGGATTAATCCATTCTGCCCTAAACCTTGCCAACCCTGACTTGTATGTATGTAACTGGTTAGATTATATTGCATCTAGATAAATTCCTCAATCACAAAACACCCCCCATAAAAAAACTATACCAACGTGCTTGACTTAGACGTTCATTTTGTTATATACATTGCTTCATGGCACATAACAAAATTTCTGAATTTGAAATTTCTTCAATTTTTTTTCTTTGATAAATATCTATTCTTGCCGTTATCTTCAACAAATATTTGGAAAATATAAAAATTTCATTACATTTATTAAAATTTTTATTAATTAAGGACATTTAAAAACACTTTCCTTTTTTTAAGGAAGTTGGGGAATTTAAGGACAACTTGGAGCCTCGGTTCGGAGTTAAACGAAGAAGAGTCAAAGCAAAGGTTAAGTACACGGAAAACGAAAGTAAAAAAAACAGAAATTTTCTGAAAATTAAGGTGATTGGAATTAATACAAGGAGGCAAAGAGACAGCAAAATGTTTACAATAAACAGAGGTGGAAAAATGATTTAGTTACAAGAATACCTTGGCTACATGTGATAAAGACTCGCTTTAAAATTCAGATTTCAGTAACACGATAGATATTAGCGTTATCAAGAATACGAAAAATCATCTATTTGTACAATAAAGTGTTGGAATCCTTAACATTAATTCAATTTTGTTATCACTGCACAAAACTTTGTTATTTTCTTTTCTATATTATAAAAATTACCTATCACAATTACACAACCTGAAAAAAATTCTCCTTCTGCATTGTGAACAACTTTCACATACCTGCCAACATTGGAGAAATAAAATAACGGAGATTTTACTAAGAGACTCAATTATGGGTTTACGACTACTGATGCTCAACCGATGCGTAGCCTTGTAATTCTGAACCCAATCTAGAAGACAAGAGAACTCCTGGATCAAGTATTGAGAGAAATTTGCTTTGTAGAGGATTTTTTGATGGAACTAAATAGCATTTTAGTTGCATGGAGAGGAAAACCTCTCACAGTTAGTCTGACGATAAGGGGACTCAAATCAGTGATTCGCCTACCCTTGAGGATAATTCACGTCAGCACCGTGGTCTGTGCAACACAGATGCGAAATTCATATTGAGCAGTCATTTCTGGGATTCAAACCCGGTTTCACCTCATTGGAATGCGAACACCCCGAAACACTTATTCAATTAACACTCAACATACTGCCAAGTAGCACCATCAGTTCAGGACTGAGAGAAATATTTTTGCCATCAGTGGCTATTTTATCACCAACTTTTTTAAAAAAAACTACTTCAACAAATACAGAGAAATTTGAGAAAATATACGTAAACAGGAGTTAGTCGTAAAATGCAGGAGTCTTCGTTAAAAAACAGGAGACTTGGCAGGTATGCTTTCATCCAAAAATCCAAAGTTTTCCCCCAAAACATCAAATTTATTTTGGAATTTAGGTATATGAAAATAAACACACAAATGTTAGTGCTAAAATTTATCACCTCAGCCCAAAATTTTAATGGTAAATTCACTTTCATACTAGATTGTTCTAGCCCTTTCTACTAATATTCTACTGTCTCACTAAGAAAGCACATTCATTCCAGGAAGGATTATGAGGAACTGTTTTTACATGCATGCTCCCGTATTTTTCTAGAAAACTATCAGTCTCGTTATTAACAAATTCTAAAATGTAAAGAGCTTGAATTAACTAAAAAATTACTCATGGAAATAAAACTGAATTACATCATTAAAAAGTCATTCATAGCTAAATGAACAGAAAACAAAAGCCTTTATGGATTTAATAACTAAAAGGGAGACTTCAAGAAATTTTTAATTAATTTTTAAGCAACCAGTCAAAGCTGTTTCCCCAATTCATAATCATTTTTAAAAAAAAGTTGAGATACTAGACAATAATCCATGCCGTGAACTCAACATTTAAATTATTTACTTTCAAATAATCGTCAAAACAAATGTGCAGCATTGAACAAGAATTTAGTGCACGGCATGGAACTAAACATTTTTGCCTACATAATTCGTAAATACAACAGAAATAAACTTTCTGACGATAATTATTAGTACACTTAAAATATGTTTCTCATAAATAAGATAATTGGAATTAATTCTCACCGTTTTGAGTCATTTTTTTGCAGATTTCGAAAGGTAAAATGAATTTCCAAATTTAGCTAGTATCCACGCGTTTAAGTAAACCGAACCAAAAGGAAAAGGATAGCACGAGAGCAAGATATCTTACGGTAGATGATGTTAGTTATAAATTAACGGAAAAGAGATAATCTATTTTAGTGGCAACGTTTATGGCGTTTGAAATAGGCTACAGGTGGCGAAGTGCAGAACTCTTTACATATGGCAACACTTCACATGCTTTCAGTCCCGCAGTGGACTGATCGTTAAGACACGGTTCCCAGCAGATCACCGAAGTCAAGCATCAGTGACTACGGTCAGTGTGCGGGTGGGTGACCACTTGGATCAGTCTGCGTAGGGACCGAGGGTGTGCGGTATTGGTCCTCGTTAAACTGTGCTACCGTAAAGTGCTCGACTTCGCGCGCAGGTCGTCGGGCTACCGAAGCGGGGGTGCCATCCCCTCCGCAGAGGATCAAAATTGTGAGGATTCGTGAGAAGCTCATCATCAGGGATGTTTCCCAGACCGTCGCCAATAGCCCATTGTGCAGCTCTAGTGCGACGTAAAGTAACAACAACAACATGTTTTCACCGATATTTGGTCAATTTAGGAATTGGTAACTGGGCGGAGTGAGCTTGACTCTAGCTTTTATCCATCAATCTTCTTATAACCCTATATTGATTGTATAATCTGTTCTGTGCTAAACTTTTTCGCCAAAGCAATTGGCGTTGTTTGAAGGTGGGTTGACACGATCAAAGTACTTTGATCAAAGTAAGCGCGCGCATTCACCAGTACGGAAATATTTTTAGGGAAATGTGACGATT